CCTCCAACTAGACTCGGCACCGCTGATGACAACCCTCTGAGCTCTGCCATTCAGCCAGTTCCCAATCCACTTCACTGACCACTCATCCAGCCCACACTTCCTGAGCTTCCCTAGGAGGATATCATGGGAGACTGTGTCGAAAGCCTTGTTGAAGTCGAGGTAGACAACATCTGTGGCTCTCCCCTCATCTGCCCAGCCGGTCATGCCATCGTAGAAAACTATCAGATTGGTCAGGCATGATTTGCCCTTGGTGAATCCATGCTGACTATTCCTGATAACCTTCTTTTCCTCTACTTGCTTGATGATGAGCTCCAGGATAAGCTGCTCCATCACCTTTCCTGGGATGGACGTGAGGCTGACCGGCCATTGATGCCTTCTCTTTTGTTACAACTTTAAAATCTTTAACACGGTTTCAGCCAGATCTGATAGGGGGGGTTTGGAAACTTCAAGGATACAAAGTTCACGTTTTGTGAGCATAGGTGACTGGGAAATGAGACTTCACCCTCAAACGCGGTGTATTGTGAACTCTAGGCAGACCTAGAGTTTGCCAGATTAAAAGAGACAGCTAAGTCTAAACTCTTCTCCCAAAAATCCTTAAAATATGCGGGAGCGTGGGCTCTGTGGTTAGTGGCCAAAAGTTTAGCTGAAGAAAAACAGGCAGCCCAGGTAGAAATTCAGAACCTACGGGAGGAAAATGACAAACTGAAAGCAGAAATAAAGGCTCAGCAGCTTAAACTTGAGGAAGGTAAAACTTGAGAAGGAGTTGCGGCTGTGGAGCAAGTGCGAAGCGCTCTCCAGTATCAAGAGGTGTGTGAACAAAAAAAGGCCATATTGAATGAAAATCAGACGTTGAAGGAAAAACTGGCTGTCAGTCCAAAAGCTGCAGAGGAGGTGCAAGGAGCAATCCGAGTATTATTGTGAACCCAGCCTTTCCTAATCACTAAAGCGTCCAGCTGCAAATCTGTGAGCAGAGAAAACTGTGAAATCTGATTTCCCCTGGAAGCCCTTGCGTGGTTTTGAAGTTGTGGGCTTGCAGTGTGTGGATGACATGGAGCGTTTCCTCTCCGTGCAGGTTGGTGATGGTACCACTTCCGTGACTCTGCTCGCTGCCGAGTTCCTGAAACAGGTGAAGCCCTACGTGGAGGAAGGCCTCCATCCTCAAATCATCATCCGTGCCTTCCGCACGGCAACGCAGCTGGTAAGGCGGCGCTGCTCGTAGCTGAGGGAGGGCTCGGCTGCTGCAGAGCTGAGGGGTGCTGTGGGCTTCCCCAGAGCGTCTGGGGAGAGGAGTTCTGTGCCAGAGAGGAAAAATAACACACTTCCAGACAAAAGTCAGTAGTGAATGGGCATGGGGAGCGACAGTAGCGATCTCGTGATGTCTTACTGCAAACAGCAGCTGCCCTGTCTGGTGTCAGTGAGCTGTTACTACCTGCTAGTACCTCTTGGGTGCCATCGCTTCCTTTGGTTTTTTTCCAAAGAAGAGTAAGTGGGAAAATTCATTTCCATTCTCCTGATCTCTGCTACTGCTTGGTAAACCTTACGTCTCCTGAAGCCCGTCAGTCCCATTAACTTGAACCTTCTCTGGGGGTTAACTCCCTCAGTAGCTCTTTGGTTCCCCAGATCTCTGCCAAAAACAGTGGAGCAGCTGTGAGCGTCTTCCCGATTGAACCTTCGCTGGGGATTAACTTGAACCTTCTCTGGGGGTTAACTCCCTCAGTAGCTCTTTGGTTCCCCAGATCTCCCCCGAAAACAGCGGAGCAGCTGTGAGCCTCTGCCCGATCGTCTTGGACTTACCGTGGTGTGTTTCTTAGAATTACTGTGCTGGGCGGGGTGGAATAGCTTAAATGCTTGAAACTGCAGTGAGGCTGAAGTAGGGAGTAAAAGGTAACAAAATGCAAAGAGATAAGTTGGAGATCTGATCAGAATGAATCACTAATCCACCTTTTGGCTTGTGTTTTGACAGGCTGTAAACAAGATCAAAGACATTGCTGTTACGGTGAAGAAGGAAGATAAAGAGTAAGTTTCCCTTACAGGTGACCTGGTTGCGTAGCTGGGCTTCAGTTAGCTGATGTGAGGGCGTTTCTGACTTCTGCTGTGTCTCTGGCTGAGGTCTCGAGGTCGTGCCGGACAGCTGCGGCCCCACACCGGGGTTTATCTTGAGCTTTTGGAGTTTCCTGCTCCTCCAGAGGAGAAGCTGTGTTCTCACTTGGGCTGCAGCAAAGTATGTAGGCCAGTGTCTTCCAGCACACGTGGAGGAAGCTAGGTACCAAAATAAGTGGCCTGATTTCTTTTTTCCAGTAGTGGTGGAGACTTGAAGCTTTTCCTGTAGTCAGTGGCAGTGTTAAATGCTCAGTGCTTCCCTGAAAATCACTTTTTAGCTGTTGAATTCATGAAGTTAGATAGCTAATAGCAGTAAGGAAATGGTACCTGCAGGTGAGGTGAGAATACTAGAGTTCACTTTCTCCCTGCATTTTAAGCTTTTGTCTGCTTGATCTGACCTTGCTAATACCTGCAGTGAAGCTTCTAGCTGAACTGCACAACTGCCTTAAGCCAAAAGGAGCTGTAGCCCTTCCACTGTCCTGTGATGTGGAATACAGTAGTTCTCATGGTCAGCAGTAACTTGGGTGATGGAGCCTGGGAATTTGATCTGTATTTCCCTGGTATCCCTTGTATCGTCCACTCTGTTATGGCATTACCTGAGGTGGTAGTGGGGCGCATTAAGCAGAGTGTGGGCAGCAGATCGAGGGAGGTTCTCCTCCTGCTCTGCTCTGCCCTAGTGAGGCCCCATCTGGAGTCCTGTGTCCAGTGCTGGGCTCCCCAGTTCAAGAAAGATGAGGAGCTACTGGAGAGAGTCCAGCGGAGGGCTACAAG